ACCTGATCCTTCAAAAATTGAAAAGGTTGTCAATTATTCTAGGCCAAGAAATTTAACAGAATTAAGAGCTTTTCTAGGATTAGCTTCTTACTATCGAAGGTTCATTAAGGATTTTTCAAAGATATCAGCTCCATTGTATAAATTGACAGAAAAAGAGGAAAGTTATATATGGAATGATGAAAGGCAAAGAGTGTTTGATATGTTGAAAGAAAAATTAACAACAACACCTATTTTCATGTATCCAGATTTTGATAAACCTTTTATTCTTTATACCGATGCTTCTCAGATTGGTTTAGGCACAGTATTATCTCAAAAAGGAGATGACGGAAAAGAGTATGTGATCGTATATGCTAGTAGAACTTTGAATTCAGCTGAAAAGAATTATAGCATGACAGAACAAGAATGTTTAGCTATTGTATGGGCAGTAAAATATTTTAGACATTACATCTTTGGAAGTAGATTTACAATTATCACTGACCATGCAGCATTACAATGGTTATTAAATGCTAAATCAAAATTAACTGAAAATAAAAGGATAATGAGATGGAGACTCACCTTACAGGAATATAGCTATGAGGTGAAATATAGAAAAGGAAAACATCATGAAAATGCAGATGCCTTATCTCGGATAAACCCATATGATCATGATCTAACACAGAAAAATATATCATCACTACCAAATTCTAGATTTTTCAATAATGGATAATGAATTTTATGAAAATCTAACCCAATATTTGAAAACTCTTACATACTCACCGGATTTGGACAACTCTCAACGGATTAAACTGCAAAAAGATTCAACCCAATACATAATGAAAAATAACTTACTACACAAACGAACTAGAGATGGTGATAAGAGAGTGATTTGTATGAACAAGTAGAAATTATTCTTTATAATCTTCACAAAGATATGACAGGAGCCCATCTTGGAATTGATGCTACTTATGAAAAAGCAAAGGAAAGATATTACTGGCCCCAGATGTTTGATGATGTCAGGAGTTATATTCAGCGGTGTGACAATTGTCAGAAAAGAGGATCATCTAAAAGAAAAGAACCTCTGCAACAAATCGAAGTAAAAGCACCCTTTCATAGAGTTGGAATTAATATAAAAGGACTATTACCTAGAACTTCTCAAGGAAATCATTATATAATTATCACCATGGACTACTTTACAAAATGGCCTGAAGCTAAATCAATACCAGATATCAAATCAGAAACAGTTGCGAAGTTTATTTTTAATGAAATTATTTGCAGACATGGTGTTCCAGAAGAACTTCTATCTGATAGAGGAACTTCTTTCTTGAACAAAGTAGTGGATACACTTTGTGAAAAATTTCAAACAAAACATCGACTT